GGAAGGCTGAGGTGGAAGGATCGCCCGAGCCCAGCAGGTCGAGGCTGCAGTGGCCAGGAGCGGCCACTGCACTCCAGTCTGGGTGACAGAGTGAGGCTCCAACTCAAAAGCAAAACAAGAAAGAGTCAGGCTTTAACGACTCTGCTAAAACCTCCTCTCTCTCAACAGATATTTTAGTCAATGTAATTCTTCCTTGCCAACAATTTTTTTCCCATGACAGCAGTTTGTCAAAAGCTATCATTCCCAAAAAGGGTATTCCAAGACAATTTGAAGCAATACCCATGTAAAATGAATGTCTATCAGGCAACGTAGAAGTAAAGAGTAAAAAAAGCACCCTCTGGAATGATCATGAATAAGGGTAAAGTGAGGCAAAGACCAGAGGGCAGAGTCATGTCTGATTGAAATACAAGGCCAGAGACTGACCAAGGGGTGCAACGAAAGGGAGAAAACATGTGAAAAATGTTCTGGGGGAGAAAGAATTGGGAAAGAGTAAATAAAGATTTGCTGGACTTTGGTAAAAAGAATACATGTGGTCTACATACAATCTAAAAAAAATTACTAGAAATTAAAAACATTCATACGTATATAGTACTATCCAAGAAAAACACATTTTAACATATTGCTTTGAGTAGAAATACTTCCAGAATAGAGACTTTAAATTCATCTTCCTCCAAAGTTGAAGGGGAAAACAAAATCCTGAAAATCTTCCATTTTATCTAATCAGAACTTTTATTCAACAATTTACAATTACGCTTCCTGACTGTATCTGCACAGTAGAAAAGGAAGTTACTACCAGATGACCAGCGCTGGTTCTTGGTCAAGAAGAGTTTTAACTTTAAATGCAGAAATTGATGTGTTAACACCAACTACACACCTGTTAACTTGAACAGCATAAACCAGCAATTCCAAAGATGTTGCCATCAAGTTCTGAGGCTTGAAAAATTAAGAGGTCAGACCTTGGACTTACACTGACTAATATGTAGGTTATAGGTAGCAGCATACCTCTTGAGATTCTAACTTAAGCCCTGCTAAAGATACGAAATACCTAACACTTAGATGCCTTTGCTTCCACAGAAGTGATGAGTCTCTCACACACACGCCATTCCTTTGGAAAACAGGCCGGACCCCCACCCCTACCCTGCGTTTCTATATGATGTTTAGTCCCCGCAGCCAATTTTATGCCTCTTTGTCTAGATAAGTGCTTATGCCCAGTCTCTCACGCCTAGCCCAACCAATATTCTACCGCTGCTGGTCTGAAGTAAAATGGCCAAACCTGCTCTCAGAGCCCTTTCCAGCCACTTCTGTCTTCCGAGGAAGACAAGCCTCACTCATATGGGGGTCTCCTAGAACTTGTCCCCACACACATTCATCTATCACTGTGATAGCTTGAATCTGACCCCCAAAAACTAATCTCCAGTGCAACAGTGTTAAGAGCCAGGACTTTTGAGATGTGATCAGGCTATGAGGGCTCTGCCTGCACGAACGGATTCATGTCGATTACAAAAGGGCTTGAAACTGTAAGTTCCATCTCTTGCTCTCTCTCTCCCTCTCTACCCTTCCACCATGAAAGACGCAAGAAGGCCCTCACCAGACACCAGCACCTTGATATTGGACTTCCCAGCCTCCAGAATTGCTAAAAATTGCTCTCCTTTATAAACTACCTAATCTCTGGTACTCTGTAAGAGCAACAGAAAACAGACAATAACATCACACAAATTGGGGAGAGGGCATGAAGAAACCTGGAAGCATTTCAAAGTATGTTTTTTACATGAGAAGATGATGCAGCTGGGCTCAGTGGCTCAGCCTGTAATCCCGCGCCTTTGGGAGGCTGAGGTGAGTGGATTGCCTGAGCCCGCGGGTTTGAGAACTGCCTGGGCAACTTAGCGAGACCTCATCTCTACAATAAATCAAAAATTAGCCAGGCGTGGTAGCGTGCGCCTGAAGTTCTGGCTGCTTGGAAGGCTGAGGTGGAAGGACCGCCGGAGCCCAGCAGGTCGAGGCTGCGGTGGCCATGAGCAGCCACTGCACTCCAGTCTGGGTGACAGAGTGAGACTCCAATTAAAAAAAAAAGAAAAAAGAAAAAAAAAGGAAAAAGAAGATGATGCCAAAGGAAGAATTAAAGTATTAGAGAGGGGCTCACTCTCAGCATAATACACCCACAACGGAATCTCGTGACCTGTTCTTTGTAACGACTTACATGAAATGATACCTACATCTCAGAAACAAATGAGGCCAAGATAGTTCCGAATTTAAAAGTCATCTTATGTTAAGGTGGGATGGGAAATGACTCGGGTACATGCATGCATGCACACAAACTTGGTAATGGAAAATAAAAAAATACTATTTTTAAAATGCGAAAACTGGCATTTCTATATCACAAAAAGTAATTTAGAGGCTGGGCACGGTGGCTCATGCCTATAATCCCAGCATTTTGGAAGGCCGAGGTGAGAGGACTGCTTGAGCCCACAGGTTCAAGATCAGTCTAGGCAACTTGGTGAGACCTCATCTCTACAATAAATCAAAAAAGAAAAAAAGAAAAATTAGCCGGGCGTGGTGGTGCGTGCCTGTAGTTCCAGCTACTTGGAAGGCTGAGGCTGAAGGATCACCTGAGCCCAACAGGTCCAGGCTGCAGTGGCCATGAGCGTGCCACTGCACTGCAGCCTGGGCAACGAAGTGAGACTCCAACTAAAAATAAATTTAGTCATTTACCTAACATTTCACAGCTAGACTGAGACAGTTTTCTAAGCTAATATCCGTACTTGTGAGTAAGTCAATCTACTTTAGCCTCATTTAATAAGTACCCTAGGGCATGAATCATTTCACTGATAAAATATTAAACTTTAAGCCCCTAATAAGTGTTTATGATGAGACATTCAACCTGAACAGCAGAACTGTAAAATCTGGATTCAGTTAACAACTTTTCCTTGCTCTGCATTTCATGAGGAGAGTGGCCAGCTTTATCTTCTGCACCACACACAGACACTGTTTCACTGTGACACTAACCTTGTCCCACTCCTGTTCAGAGGTCACATGTTTATCCAAAAATTCTGCCATCCCAATTCCCATTCTTTGGCAAATGTCAGCAATCACCGTTTGATATTTCTCAGCCAGATTTCTAAACTCAAGGGAGATCTGAAATAGAGACCATGAAAAAAAGAGAAAACATAAAATATGGACACACATGGCACCAAAGATCATAAGCCAAAGCAATGGTGAAATTCATTAATATGGCTCCCAATTGGTTCATCTGTAAGCTAATCCAGGTTATACTAGTTTTCTACATACTGACTAATAAACTCAGCAAATGTTATAAATTTTAAAATAAAAGGGTCCAAAATGCTAACATTTCTAGACTCAAAAGAAGATTCAAAGTCTTACTGTATATTCATCTTTCCAATAAATAAGAAATAAGATGCTTCAACAGAAAGCTGGGCTTAAGTATAAGAACTGTAGAGAGAATGGATTGTTTCAGACCAACCTCATTACAGCAAAGATTCATTTGTGCAACATGAATTAAGCACTGTCTACGTAATGACCATTGTTCTAGTTCTGGGAAAATACGTCAGGGAAACAAACAGAAACTCATGCTCTTCAAGAGCTTATATTCTGGTGAATAGATTCAGTCTACCACTTTCTCTCGTTGGTTCCCCAATTTATGCCACGAAGCTATAGTGTCTCACTACCAGGCTACACATTCGAATTCCTTAAACAGCTCAACTCAGTGTGAGGCAAGCTGCCTAGTATATTTTTTTAGTAGCCCAAGTCCTAATGTAGAAAAGTAGTATTGATTTTTAAAAATGTATTATTACTGTACAAATATCCGGTTTATGTTTAAAGAAGTGTTACAGGAGGTCAAAATACAATATAAAAACACCATGAAAATTCTTAAATAAAATGCCACAGTCCAGGCTCATGCCTGTAATCCTAGCACTTTGAGACACCAAGGCGGGAGGGCTGCTTGAGTCCTGGAGTTCGAGACCCGCCTGGGCAATATAGCGATATCTTGTTTATACAAAGATAAAAATAAATAAATTAGCTGGGCACCGTAGTATGCAACTGTAGTCCCAGCTATTTGGGAGGCCGAGGTGGAAGGATCACTTAAGCCCAGGGGGTCAAGGCTGCAGTGAGCCAGGCTCGTGCCACTGTACTCCAGCCTGGATGACAGAGTGAGGCCCCACTCAAAAAAAAAAAAAAAGCTACAAAACATTACGAGTTTACATACAATACTAAAAACAGTGAACAGACTTGATTAAAGATCAAAAGTGAGAAAGGCTTAACGATCTCAGTGTATGTTTGCAATAAGGTTAGAAAAATTTTCTCGGGAAACACCTAAAATCAACAGCATGAGGGAAAACTAGCTGCTTGTAAAGCACCATAAGAAGTCGGATTTAGGATTTCTGATTAACGTCAACCGTTAAATCCAAAAAAACCCCCTATAAAATCAGTATCATCTTTCCAGAACTGTTCTTTCCAAAAAGCTGTTCTCTGTGGAATAGTTCTTCAAACCAAAGCCAAAAGGCAATTCCAACTGTGAACTGTTTTGAAACAAACCGGCGGCTCTGCAAGAGGTTATCTGAACCCCAGCATTTCCACAGGAGGGTTCCTCCAACAGCTCATGCTACGCCAGTTCTATTTATAAGGGAGGAAAGGCCAATGAGGGTGGGAGGAGGAGCTCAGACTGTGAAAAACAAACCCTCCAAAACAGAACTGGGATTTCTAAATCTGACCTATCCCCTTCGACAACTTTTCTGTACTTACCACAACATGATGTAATTCTAAAAGTGAAAAAGAATTTGTTTTAACCATGAAGGAAAATGTATTTTTTAAAAGCGAGGAAAAAAATCCAGGAAAAGGAAGAGCTCTGTGTTTTCCCAGAAGCCCGGGGGGAGGATAGCGCTGTGCCTACTGCACACTTGGCGCCCAGTTTCACAGCTTCTCTGGGCATGCGAGCCAGCAGGGCTTTCCTCCTCTCCAGGTAACTCTGTTTCACAACTGCGGCTGGTTTCTGGCTCTCAGTCACTTCCTGGTGATTCCACGTACACGAAGGGAGGCACTGTGTGCGTCCACAGGGGTGACGGAGGAAGGCCAAACCCGCGTGGTGAGCACAGGACGCTGCCACTCACTTCTCCTGATTATACAAAAATACAAATTCCCCTCATAACAAACCTTAGGAATATTGCGGTCTAACACTGAACTTTCACCTACATGTAAACCGTCTTGTTTCCTTTTGTTTTCAGCCACTTTTTAAAGAGGCAGTACAGTATGCCAGTGAAGGCACAGGGTTCTAGGGCCAGACCTCCTGGATTGGCTGCTTCTGCCACTTAACTTCACGGGCACACGTAAGACATCTTAATTTCCCTGTGCCTCAGTTTCCTCATCGAGACAAAATGCAGATGGCGGTGTATCACATACTAGGTAGTTTGCCTGTTAGACTACATTACAGATAAAATAGCACAAACAGTAAATTAATAATGAGATACATTTAGTAACTGACTCACAGCAAAATGCTCAAAAACGTATGCTATTATTGCTATTATCATTTAAAAAAAAATAACCCTATATTATTCCTTATGCTCTGTTCAGAGAAATATTTCTAGCTTTCCACCAGTACCAAGTGAGAAAGATACAGTCATGCACCATATAACGACATTTCAATGAATGACAGACCACATATACAAGGGTGGTCCCATAAGATTACAATACCGGCTGGACTCGGTGGCTCAGCCTGTCATCCCCGCACTTTGGGAGGCTGAGGCGAGTGGATTGCCTGAGCCCGCCGGTTGGAGACCAGCCCAGGCAACTTGGTGAGACCTCGTCTCTATAATAAAATAAAAAACAGCCGGGCATGGTAGCACACGACTGTAGTTCCAGGCTACTCAGAAGGCTGAGGTGGAAGGCTCGCTGGAGCCCAGAAGGTCGACCCTGGGGTGGCCATGAGCGTGCATGCCACTGCACTATGGCCTGTGCGAAGGAGTGAGACGCCATCTCAAAAAAAAAAACAAGATTACAATACCATATTTTTACTGTACTTTTTTAGGTATAGATACACATATATTGCAAACTTTTTAAGTTTAGATACACAAATATTTGCCATTGTGTTACAGTTGCCTACAGTGTTCAGTACAGTAACATGCAGTACAGGTTTGTAGCACTGGAGCAATAAGCTACACTATCTAGCTAAGATTGTGTAAAGACACTCTGATGTTCACATGACAAAACAGCCTAACGACATATTTCTCAGGATGTACCCCCCACCACTAAGTGAAGCATGACTGTGTTCAAATCGAATCCATAATGCAAGAGTTCCAGAAAGCCCAATCTGAAATGATACCAACTAATGCTCACTAAAGTGTGAAGCACCAGGTTCAATCTCAATGCAAAGACTGACTATGCACAGAAGTAGAGTTCGCTTGGTTTGAACACTCTACCTAGGTTTATTCCTAAATTTAGTGGGGCCTGAGACAAGAGTGCAGATGGAGGCCCATATATCACATGTGGCTAAAAACTGTGAACTGAGCAATCGAGGTAATAACTTGTTAAATAAAATGTTTTATCCTTGACAAACATCCTCATAATGACCTGGATGAGTCCGGTTGGAAGTGAAAACTCTTGTCCCGCAAAGTTTTGTTCCAAAACACAGCAGGGAAGAGATTCTGAGCTCCCAGCTCCCCGCCCCCCCTTCCTGCCCCAGCTCTTTCCAGCAATGGGAGGAATCACCCCCTCACTCATGTGTAAGGATACCCCAGCCTGCAGGGCCAGGCTGCATCATGACCCTTCCAAACATGGAACCTTGGCCAGCTCTCAGGCCTAAGGGCACAGTCACTGGTGGCACGCTCCAGGATGGAGGAGACGGATCTAAGGAAATAAACTGTGCAGACCCCAGACATGGGCTCAGGGAACTAGGGGCAAGGGATTCCAGATTATTTACAACGTGGTGTAGAGATCTGGGCAAGCACACTCCCATGGCCCCCAGCACCCACCCCTTTGAGAGAAAGGGGCCCTCTTGTCTCAGTCTAAAGATAGTACTGTGTGAGTGAAGCCAAGCTAGACCCGCTTTTAAGCTAAAGAGCGGTACAGGCCAAAAGCTGACCACAGGCCTAACTCCAGGCGGCCGGTCCCAAGGAGATGCTGGGCAAAATCAGCACATCTACAAATCATTCCTTAGGAAGACAAGGCACCATCAGTTCCCATACGATCCCATCTCGAGCGGAATCACAGACTGAAAGGACCTCCAGTTCAAATACCTTAACATTATACTTGCCCACAAAACAACAGCTTCGGACATCTTCCGATTTATAAGGACACAAAGGGTTCACAGCAAGCATCGAGATGCCCGTGCTTCTGGCCCTTTTGACTTTACCAGGTGCAATGCCCTGCTTTCAGGAGCACAGTGTCACTCTGCTTTCCAGCTCTACCTCCCCAAACAGCAAAAGATGAATCTGATGTTCCAATTAGAAACCTTGCAGAGCACAGCGTCACTTTTCCATGGGAACACACACATATACAAAGAAAGACGCTTTTAAGTTTTACAGACAGAATGGAATACTGTCTGAAAATTTGCTAGTGACTCTCCCCAAAACAATTTTAGCATTCACACACTTCTACATTGTTTCATTTTTTGCCGAGTGGATTGGTTTTTGTGATACCTAGGTCATTTATTCCAGGTACAGAAATTATTTAATTATTAGGAATCTACTCAAGTCAACAGTTTGGGGAGGGTTGGTTGGTTGTTTTCAGAGGCTAGGTCTAGCTAGGATATTAGTTAATTAAGTGAGAATGCGCTTCAGTTGTAAATGGCATGTGGCCACTGTTTGCAGCACGTCATCTGCTTCAGCAGAATTCAAAGACTTATCAATGAATGGCCACAGATTTCCAGCCAGAAGAAACCCATCCTCTGCTCTTCAGGTGTCCTGTGAGAGCCAGATCACAACCAGTCCCTTCCACGGGCTAGAGCTCTAATTCCTCACCTAATTCTTCTGCACAGATTCCTTTTCTTTCTTCTTTTGTATCATAACTGCTTCACAGGCTTTTTCTTTTGATTTATCTCAAGTTGTACAGTATTATATTTTGGGCTTTGGCACCGAAGGTGTGATCTCAGCAATTCGAAATACTCCTCACCCCAAAGGAGTCCCTTCTCCCACATCTTGTAATGGGTGGACTCTTCAACGCCCTCTCCATTCAGATGTATAGATTAGAATTGCTTCAACAGCAAGAGCCACACAATGACTGTGCCTCCCCAAAAGCTTGGCGACTAGGGACAAAGTGAAGGGCTTCTTTGGGTTTTAAGGAAATATGTGACTTTGCTAAATCAAACCTTTATTTATAAGATATGAAATAATCACTTATTTGTGTGATAAAATGCAAATTCTAGAAAAGTGGGACCTAGCCACATGTCAACACAAACTTGAGAGATTCTCTAAAGCTCAAGATTTTAATTATAACCCACCTTACTCCCATAAAATGGATGAAAATAGCTAATATTTACAGAACACTTAGTACATAGCAAGCACTATTCCAAGTATTTTATATGTATGAAATTGCGCAATTCTCTCCCCTCTAACTTTACAACTGAGGAAACTGAGGCACAAAGCGTATCAGGGAACTGGTCCAGGTCACGCAGCTGAAAGCGGCAGATGATGGGCCACCTTGCTTCTCAAACCTTAGCCCAGCTGCCAACGGAGCCCACTCCCCACCCCGGGGTACTACCCACCCACCTTGAGCAGCAATCTCTTGCTACTAGGCTCAGGGTTCTCAAGAAGCCAGTCGTGTCATACATCACACAGTCAATAGGTTTCCGTGAGCTAGCCTGAGAATCTATTTTTTTTTTTCGAGTTGGAGTCTCACTCCGTCGCCCAGACTGGAGGGCAGTGGCCGTTCCTGGCCACCGCAGCCTCAACCTGCTGGGCTCCGGGGATCCTTCCGCCTCAGCCTTCCGAGCAGCCGGAATTACAGGCACGCGCTACCACGCCCGGCTGATTTTTTGATTTTATTGTAGAGATGAGGTCTCGCTGCCCAGGCAGGTCTCGAACCCGCGGGCTCAGGCAATCCACTCACCTCAGCCTCCCAAAGGCGCGGGATTACAGGCTGAGCCACCGAGTCCGGCTAGAATCTATTTTTTACAACACTAAAATTTGCGTTGTGTTTTTTATAGAGACAGGCTTCCTCTGCCACCCAGGCTGGAGTACAGAGACATGATCACTGTAACCTCGAACTCCTGGGCCCAAGCAATCTTCCTGCCTCTGCTTCCCTAAGTGGTGGGATTACAGATGCAAGCTACCACGCCCGGCCACGACACTAAAATTTGAATGCATCTTTCCCCACGAAGAAACACTGGACTTCCAAACAACATACTGGTGATAGTAACAGTAACTAACACTTCTAAGAGCTTTACCTATTTCAACTCTCTCAAAACAACTGTAAGTTAATCTTCACAATACTATGAGATGAGTGCTACTATTATCCCTATTTTACAGATGGACAAACTGAGGCACAGGCAGGCTATGTAACTAACCACTAGCTAACAAGTGGGAGGGTTGGCACTTCTGGCTCCAGAGTCTTCGCTATCAAAGCCGCAAACCGTCACATGATGCTGCCCTCAGACTGCTGATTTTGCCCTTCACTGTGTGTGAGGGGGCTAGCTGACAACCGCATCACCGATCACAAGCCCAGGGCATGCAGAAGAGAGGAGTGACCCCCTACCGTTGGGAAGTCTTCCAGCACTTGTCGATCCTTCTCCTTGCTCTCCAAGAACCGCCAGTCTGGTTGGTAAAGGAAAGAGTGAAAGTTGTGTAACAGTGGGATCTTTTTCTCCACACTGATGGTCATGTCATCTTCCAGAGTGTCCAGAGCTCGGAGAACCAAATAAAATATGCACACTGCATGGCTATAAAAAAGAAAAAAGAAGAATTTATTGGGGAAAACTTTCAAAGATATCTATGTTAATATAACATCTATATAGGGAGGTGTCCAGGCTTTCAGGATAAATAAGCAAAATAAATAAAATTTGTACCAGTCCATTTCCTAAACCTGCCCACACCCTTAAATCTATACAACTATAGAGACATCCAAAACTTTTCATACTTAACTAATCTGACACTAGTTTTTCTTTCTTGGATGGCAATAAGGACCTTCTGCAGTATATTAAAAAAGTACAAGTAAAAAAATCTACTGACTGGATGTCGCTATGACCCCAGAATTAGTTACACTTAACTAAGGTAGAGCACACACACTGAGACCCAACTATTACTTTGCAGATAGAGAAGTCAAAAGACCCAATAACTGCTCAGTATAAACACAATCATACGTAAAGGCAACAGGCCTAAGCTCATGTGTGTAATGCACAGAGGCAGCTTCGAAAGAATGAACCCAAAAGCTAGACAGGCAAAGTAGGATGGGGAAGCCGCGAAAATACGCGACTGGCTCAGCTGCCAGGGCTAAAAAAAGTTAATAAACATCACCATCTCCCGCCGCTTCTCTGAAAGCGCCGGGCCCCAGGGACACTACCGGGTGGCAGGCGCCTGGAAGGGCATTCTACGGTAAACACAGGCCGTGCAACCCCACACACTGCCTTCGCCCAGGCGGGCCGCGTCCTGGAGAGCCACGGCGAGGAGGCCCCACGCCAAGGGCCGTGCCCCACAGTCGCCTCCAGTGCCTCAAAGGCCCCGAAGCCAGAGGCCGCCTCCGCCGCTCACCGCATTTCGCCATCCAGCGCCTGGATCACGGCCGCGAAGCTGCGACTGGTCTGGTTCAGATACTGGTAGCAGGTCTTCAGGCTGGCGCTGAGCGCGTCCTGCGGGCAGAGAAGGCACCCGG